TCCAAAGTATTCTGAACGTGCGTATCTTCAGGTATGCAATTCCACCTCAAGGTATTGACCCTAAGGAACTAATCACTGATGCTGCTCCTGTTAGCTGCTGTTGAGTCTGCCTGGTCCTGGGCCATCCTCATGATCGGCTGTGCAGATTAGACTACTGTTATCCACATGGTTTTCTTTGGTTGATTTTTAGAATAGATCGCCAGGCCTTTCTTCCTAGTCTGTCTGAGTGTGGAAGCTCTGCTGAAAACTGTTCAGCATCATAGCAACACACAAGACCCCTCTGACAGATGGGTGGTGGCTGCACGTGAGGTGAACTGGCCAGGAACTGAACAAAACTAATCACCAGATGTGCATAAGCATTTAGCTATTCATCACAGCATTGTAGAATATACAATACAGGTCTCATAAGAGTTCAACAACAGACAAATAAATACATCACGGTATATCAGTATGATGAGCCATTTAATGGTCATTGAAAGTAATGCTGACAAATTAAAAAAAAAAAGTTAATGGCAGCATTATTTGTAAATAGCCAAAACCTGGGGCGGGGACGGGGTGGGGGGGGGGACGGACCATGAAGTTTAGAATGAATAAATTATATTTAAAATAGAAATAAAAAGTAACACTGACTTGGCAATATCTAGGCAAATGTTAAAACGCACACACTCTCACAGAAAAGGTGATGAAATGTAAATGGCCATTAACAGGGTTGTTTGAATTAAAGTACACCCACACGACAGACTACTATATAGCTATTTAAAACAATGAAGGAGCTCCAATGGCAGAAAACTGACCAATCTAAAGGACTGATTAACTGAAAGTAGCAAGTGCAGAAGAGTGCTACCACTTGCTTGGAAAGAAACAAATGAGGAATGTATTTATAGAGATATATAAACACACACCCACTTTGACTCATAAGAAACTGGTAATACTGCTTTCGGAGAGAAAAACTGGGGAGTGGGGGAACGTGGTTGGGAAGGAGACTTGCTTCTCACATTCTGTATCTCTGAATTTTTACATTCTGCTTTGTCTATATTATACAAACCTTCTGCAAGAAAATGTATTAACTCTATAATCAGATTAAAACATTACTTAAATTAAGTAAAACAGCAAGGTGCAGAAGAGTAGATGTAGTATTCTACCTCATGTAAGAATTTCTATGCATATTTTCTCATGTCTGTAAAATAAACACAGGAAGGATAATCTAGAAACAAAGAAGACAGATGGTTACCTAGAGGGATGGGGTACAAAGGGCTACACTGATAAGAATGTAGAAAAATTGGTGTGTAACCACTGTGGAAAACAATTTGACCGTTCCTCAAAAAGTTAAACATGAAATTGCCAAACCCAAAAACCAAACCCACTGCTGTTAAGTGATTCTGACTCATAACGGCCCTATAGAATAGAGTAGAATTGCCCAATAGGGTTTCCAAGGCTGTAAATCTTTAAGGAAGAAGACTGCCACATCTTTCTCCTGTGGAGAAAGTTCAAACTGCAGACCTTTCGGTTGGCAGCTGAGCGCTTTAACCACTGCGACACCAGGGATCCTCGGAATCACTGTATGAGCTAGCAATTCCACTCGTTGGAAAATACCCAAAAGAACTAAAGCGGGTACTCAAACAAATACATGTACAGTACATGCGCGTTCACAGCGGCACCATTCACAATCAGTAAAAGGCAGAACAATCCAAACACGCACCAACAAAAGAATGGATTAAAAAGATACCGTATACCCATACAACGGAATACTGCTCAGCCACAGAAAGGAATGACGTACGGATACCCGCTACGACGTGTACACGTGGATATACTAAACGCTGCGGAACTGCTGACTTTAGAACGGTTAGATGGAAACATCTGGGAAGGACACAGACGGGATGGCTGCCCAGCACTGAATATACTGTCACTGAACTGGACCTCTGAATGGTTAATTTTGCTATATGAATTTTACCTCCAAAAAAAGTTGGTATGTTACTGTTATAAGGAAACAAGATTTTCAGTAAAAGAAGAAAAAAAAGAACTATAGCAAAAACTCCTGCAATGTAAAATTTTGTTTCGATATATCAAAATGAACTCAAATAAAATATCTACTTCTATTTCATATGTATAATTATTTTCCTCCCCCCTAGCGCTGTCTCCTGGAAAGGCTGAGAAACAAAGTGGCAATAAACATACTTAGCGCTCAGACTTTGGTTTCAAAATTTCATTCCTTCCTCGAAAGAAAGGAAAAGTCTTGGAGAACGGGCAAGTGTGGGGCGGGGAAAGCAAAACACAGGTGCGAGCAGAAGCGATGATGCATGTAGACTGAGAAGGGGCGCGGGCGGAGAGGGCGCGCGGGCAGAGAGGGCGCGCGGGCGGAGAAGGGGCGCGGGCGGAGAGGGCGCGCGGGCAGAGAGGGCGCGCGGGCGGAGAAGGGGCGCGGGCGGAGAGGGCGCGCGGGCCGGGAGGGCGCGCGGGCGGAGAAGGCTGTGACACAGGGACACGGGAGCCCTCACAGCCAAACCTGCGATATCTAAGCACCAAAAAGAACGACAGAGGTGATGAATGGACAAGCTCATTTAATAATATACTGAATAAACAAAATTTTGATTCCATAGTGATACTAAAAAAAAGAGATAAAGACAAAAATCCTTTTCTTCAAAGAGAAACGTCAACTAATAAATGTAAAAGTGACAGAATTCGACAAGCCCAATTCTGCGTCACTAATAAACGATTAAGGCAAGACCTATCAATGCAAGCTAAACCACAGGGTGAGAGATGGCTGGGGAGCAAGAAATCCACATGGTGTCTAAATATCACTTCTCAGATTCTCTATGCGCAACAAGGAAATACAAATCTTTACAACAGAGCGATCTGGTGGTCATTCCTCAACCAAACGATCAAACTTAATTATCACCGATAACAGTACAACCTGACACTGTGCTTCCCAAAGTAACACAATAGGAAGTACACGGCATCACTCAGCAAGTATTCTTACCAGACACTTAACCTGAACTGAGTCAAGCCTTTAGACTCATTTCCAGCTAAGGGAAATACAGGAGACAGAAGAACAAGTTCACTGACACTGCAGACAGACAGGCAAATCCGAACGCGGGTGTTCAACAAGACAACTGGCCTCATCTCTTCAAACACCAACGTCCCAGGGAAAACAAAAGTCAAGGGACCGCTGTAGATGACATGACATCCTAATGCAATGCACGAATCTTCATCAGATCCTGGTTTAAACAAAAAAAGCTATAGGAGATATTTTGGGGACAAATGGAAAATAGGAATACAGGCTGCATAACAGATAATATTAAGAAATTACTGCTCATTTTTTGGGTGTTTCGATACGTTGGAAAGCATCCTCATCCTTAATCTTAGGTGTCATATGCTGACTTATTCGGACAGGTGTCATGATATCTCCAATGTATGTTCAAATACTTCAACAACAACACAAGTAAACACATAAACTGTTGTTAGGTGCCGTGGAGTCGGTTCTGACGCACAGCGATCCTACGCACAACAGAACAAAACACTGCCCCGTCCTGGGCCCCCCTCACAATCATTGTCGTGCTTGAGCCCACTGTTGCAGCCACTGTGTCAATCCATCTCATTGAGAGTCTTCCTCTTTTTCACTGACCTTCTACTTTACCAAGCGTGATGTCCTTCTCCAGGACTGGTTCTTGCTGATACACACACACACACACACACACACACACACACACACACACACACACACACACAAACATACACACACTACTACCCCCCAACATATATATATAAAGCAGCAAATACAGAAAAATAATAACAACTGCTGGACCTATGTGGTGGGTAAACAAATGTTTCTTTGAACTTTGTATGTCTGAAAATTTGCAAGATAATATTGGAATATTCTGTCCAAGAAAAGCGTATAAAAATATGTCATGAGGAGCAGTCCCCTTTTGGTTTATTCGAGATCTGATGGTAATAGTTTTTAGTGACTGAATATTCAGGTGACGAAGTTCTGGTTACTATCCTTGTTAATTTAATTAGCAATTAAAATTAAATTTACAGGCCTAAAGACAAAGGAGACAGCAGCCCAACTCTCTGATTTTTGAGTGTTCCTCTACTGGTGCAGCTGTCCCCACTCCTATGCAGTCACACTCCACCCTTCATCACCACAACACAGTGCAGTTTTTCAGAGAGCCAGCTTCTGGCCTCCTCAAAGCAAGTAGCAACAACCAAAATTCTCAAAACTAGGTTTGATAGGAGGCTGCCAGCCTCCTGGAGGACAGAAAAAGAAAAGTGAAGGAATTTAACAAATACGATTTAAGAGAGAAAATTTTATTTAAAAAAGAAGGTGTCTAAGTCCCAGAATACAAAAACAGAAAGGGAAAAGTCACCAGAGAAAGCCCACAGAGAAAACAGGGCAAGACGCACATGCTTGAAAAGAGAACAGCTAGACAGCAGAAATGTTACTGTGAGCATTAAGACCAGGATTGTTCCTGCTGGGTGCCATCGATTACGACTCACAGACACCCCATGTGACACAGCAGAATTGCACTCCAGAGTTTTCCGGGCTGTAATCTTTATGCAAGCAGATCACCACGTCTTTCTCCCCTGGAGCAGCTAGGTTAAAACCGTCAACCTTTTGGTTAAGCAGCCTAGCACTTAACCCTTTGTGCCACCAGGGCTCCTTTTTAAAACAAGGAAGACTAATTTAAATGGGCAGGTAGGAAAGGCAGGTTAGGACTATAGGGAAAACGGGTTGGAGAACTCAAGGAAAGAGAGATTCTGTGGTACTCATCCTACACATAAGCCTCTACGGTGGATTTGCAAACGGTCAGCAACTCAGAAAATATAAAAAAAGCACGTTACCACACTGAGCTTCTTTTGAGGATAATGGAAAAATTTGGAAATGGATGATGGGGGTAGTTGAACACCATCATTAACGCCACTGATTTACACATGTGAAGAATGTTTTAAAACCTATATATGTGCCACAATAAAAAAATAAAATAATTTTAAAAGCACATTACCTTAATAGTAATGTAGTTTTTTAATGATTTGGACATTTTTTCTTCTTTGCCTTTAATGTGCAAATGCCCTAAAATAAAAACAAGATCATTAATTCTGAAGTGGGTATCCCACAGAAGATAAGAAGTACTCCTCAAACGTGGCTCCTGAGCCAGGGAGCTGTGGCTACATGTCAATCTCGTAAACATGCAGGCTTGGTCCCGTATCACCATAAAATCCTTCACAACCCTTGCATTCTAGCATATATGGAAACCCATGCACATGATGATATGAAAGTTTCTCCTCAAAAATCTTCACCCGCATTTGACCCCCCAGGAAGATGTAACACACATCCATGTCTGCTCTAAGGCTTCAGGGGCGCCCAGCACTGCACGGGGCGGGGCAGGGGGAGTGAGCCCTGGTACGTGGGCACCACCGGCCGACTCAGAACTCAGACAAGTATGACTACGACTCTGAGAACAACACTTCGTATTTTCCCACTGCCTGTGATTTAGAAACATCTGGAGAACTGGAAAATCTTTCATTTCATAAGGCAACAGGTAATAACAGCTTGTGTACAGTTGTTCCGAACTGCAGAGTTGACCTTGCAGGTGTCTGAGTATGATTAATTACACTTTATTTACAGTTTGTTTTCACAGATTTATCAGGACCGTGGTATTATTTCAACTCCCCTATATATATGATAGGAGGAAAACCAAATCAATTTAAGAAGCTTCTAAATCTGAGCCTGGAATTCTGTTTTTGTTAGCTGCTGTCGAGTCAGTTCCAACTCATAGTGATCCTATGTACAACAGAAGGAAACAATGCCCGGTCCTGCGCCATCCTCACAACTGTTACCTCTGAGCCCGCTGTTGCAGCTACTGTGTCATTCCTTCTCATGGAAGGTCTTACTCTTTTTCGCTGACCCTCTACCTTACCAAGCATGATGTCCTTCTCCAGGGACTGGTCCCTCCTGATAACATGTCCAAGGTACTTGAGATGAAGTTTCTCTATCCTCACGTTTAAAGAGCATTCTGGCTGTACTTCTTCCAAGACAGACTTGTACGTTCTTCTAGAAGGACATGGTATATTCATATTTGTCGGCAACACCATAATTCAAAGGTATCAACTCTTCTTCAGTCTTCCTTATTCACCGTCCAGCTTTCGCATGCGTATGAGACAGCTGAAAGTATTCATGCCTTGGGTCAGGCGCTTCTTAGTCCTCAAAGTGATATCCTCGCTTTTAACACTGTAAAGAAGTCTTTTGTAGCAATCTGCCCAATGCAATATATCATTTGATTTCCTAACTGCTGCTTCCATGGGCGTTAATTGTGGATCCAAGTAAAATGAAATCCTTAACAACTATAATATTTTCTTCATTTATCATGATGTTGCTTATGGGTCGAGTTGTGAGGATATTTTGCCTTCTTTATGTTCAGGTGTAGTCCGTACTGAAGGCTGTAGTCTTTGATCTTCATTAGTAAGTGCTTCATTCAAGTCCTCCTTGCTTTTCGCAAGCAAGTCTGTGTCATCTGCGTAACGACAAAGGTTGCTAATGAGCCTTTCTCCAATCCTGATGCAGTGTTCTTCTTCATATGGTCTAGCTTCTTGGATTATCTGCTCAGCATACAGACTGAATAAGTATGGTGAAAGGATACAACCCTGATGTACAACTTTCCTGATTTTAAAAAATGCACTGTTTGAACAACTGTTCAAACAACTGCTTCTTGGTCTGTGTACAGGTTCTGCATGAGCACAATTAAGCGTTCTGGAATTCCCACTCTTCCAATGTTATCCATAGTTTGTTACGATCCACACAGTCGGATGCTGTTGCAGAGTCAGTAAAACTGTGAATAATGGAATTCTTTCGAGACTGTATTTTTAAAAGATTTATTTCCAAGCGAGGGCGTTTTCTTTTCTAAGACAAGATCCTTCCTCATTTTTTGACACTACTTCAAAAATAAGGGTGGTCCAAGGCCAATTTTTCTTTTTTCTTTTCCTGAGAACCGGTTAAAATGTGGCTTCCAAAAAGAAATATAAACTTGAATATATAATTCTATACATGTTATATACACAACCCAAAAATCCACTGCTGTCGATTTTAACTCATAGCGACCCTATAAGACATAGCAGAACTGCCCCACAGGGTTTCCAAGGAGCGGCTGGTAGATTGGAACTGCCGACCTTTTGGTTAGCAGCCGAGCTCTAACCACTGAGCAAGCGGGGCTGCCATATACACCGAGCACAATTAAATTTTATTTTTAATGGACAACATCTGGAAAATAAAACACATCTGACTAGTTAACGCTATCCCTCATCCATTTAGAAAAAATGTATTAATTCTCTCGTGCGTCAGGAGACGTTGTTTTTCCAGGATAGGGCTGAAGTGGAATGAAGAAGATTCTGATTGTCTCATTAAGTGGGAGAAGTCATCATAACAAAAAATAGCAACAAAAGAAACCCCTTCCTATTCCCAAGTTCCAAGGTTAACAAAACCTGCTGCTTTACATACACCAAATACCTCAGTACTAGCTCACAGAGGCTAAAGAAGTTTGAGTGTTAGTACCGCTAAGTTACCTTTTTTGATGCCTGGATCCAAAATTTGCTAATGGACTTACTATATTCCATTTTGTTAACAAACTATAGCTCATTCAAGAGAATTAATCAATGGACAGTTGAAGCACCTGCAGAGGAATGCCCCTGTGAGGTTTCCGATGGTGAATATGGCAACGTGTGTTTCAGAATCTGAGACAAGGGCTACAGATATCTCCATCACTGAGATGCAGCTCTTCAGACCAAAGACCCACAATGGTTTCCTCCAACAGGCTCCGTCCACATTTACTCTGCGGGGATACAATTCAGATGTCTTCAGGCCAAAGGGGAAGAGACTTGATTTCACATCATTTCTAAGGTGAAGCGTGGGCATCTGCCTGTTGAAATCCAATGGGGTCTCTGAGAAGGCATTTTTGAAACACTCTCCCACTTAGGCTGTGTCCATCTCCCCTACCCACGTGAGCACCCGTTGAAATTAAAGGTAAGATTATCGGGCTTTCGGTCTTCTATTTAGGGAAATCAACCTACAAGATACACCACTGGCAGAAATAAAGCGGATTTCAGCTCCCGTAGAGTTCTATCAAAGCAAATGAAGTGAAATGCTAGATAACAGCTATTAAGTCCATACACGTAACCACTCAGCCAGCTTTGTTTCTGCATTGTTTGATTATCAGACAACTCGCAGGCGTTACAGAAATGAGCTGGCCACTTCAGAGAATGGAGATCTTGAGGCACCGTGAGGCTGGCATGGAGCCTGTTTTGCCACCTCCTAGGCCCCCAAGGGTAAGCTTGGGGTGCAAAGAAAAGACGGTAGTGAGTGGACTTTGGGGCAAGCAGCCTTGTCTTTTTTACTTTCATGAAGAAACTCAAATGAACTCTTACTGTAGAGTTTATGGAGTCTAATGCATATTATAAAAATGGAATATCTCTGCATTTACCACTATCTTAATGGTGAGAACCTAATTTTCTTAATTCAAAAATGTAAAGAATGATAATTGTAATTTACTATACTTTAAATGTTGATTGCTTGCATTCCCAAATCCTGTCACTAACAAGGAGCCCTAGTGGCGCAGTGGTTAAAAACTCGGCTGCTAACCGAAAGGTCAGCAGTTTAAATCCAACCGCTCCTCCTTGGAAACCCTATGGGGCAGTTCTACTCTGGCCTATAGGGTTGCTATCAGTCAGAACCGAACAACGACAACAGGTTTGGTTTTGGTTTACCACTAACAGACAGTCTTTATCTTCCTTCATCTCAAATATCTTATCTGTCCCTTCCAAAAAAGATAATAAAACTGGTTAATTCTGGCCCCATGGCCTTTATCAAATTTGTACATATGAATCTTCCTGTGAATCAAAGTAAATTCCAAAACTGCTATGCTAAAGATATCACTTGTTTCATAATGTTGTATCTGCTTTTGAGAACTAATGGCTGGTGTTAATCAATTATGTTCTTTTTGAATAATGAAATAGAAGATAGTGTTACAGACATGTATGGTGACAATACTATAGCTTAAATATTAAAAGAAAAAAAAAAATCAAACCTGTTGCCGTTGAGTCGATTCCGACTCAGAACGACCCTATAGGACAGAGTAGAACTGCCCCATAGGGTTTCCAAGGAGCGGCTGGTGGATCTGAACTCTCGACCTTTTGGTTTGCAGCCATAGCTCTTAATATAACACATTCAAAACTATTATTACATCATACTATTCAAAATTCCTTAAGTTTTTATTTCAAAAAACTTAAATAGAACAGTACTATAAAACATTTTCTGTATTCTAGTCAGTTGATATTTCAGTTCCAAAGATTCCAGTCTGAGGCAAGTTCATTTTCAACTGACCAAAATTTAGAAACAATTTAAGAGGGAAATCCATTTCTTAACCTGTAAGTTTACCTATGCATTTCCTAATGCAGCTGTTTTACCAATAAAGACAGAAAACAAACAGAATAAACTAATCTGAAGTCATTACTCACCAGAATGCAGAAAATAATTTCCCCACTGCTTGCACCGATGAAACGCTTCACACTGTGCGATTTCGTTTTCATGATGCGGAAACGCTAAATCTATCCCGCCCGAGTGGAGATCCAACTGACCTCCAAACATCAGACTGGAAGAAACAGAGCAGTGTACTGAATTAATTCACTCGAATCACATATTCTTCCAAACCATATTTTATATTTAATCTTCCCAGCTTTTTTTACGCAATGAATAAAAATAAATGGATCTCAATTTTAAATCAATTTGCATGATAATTTAGCTGATGGAAATTTAAAATCGAAATTCTAGTTTTACTTTCTCATAAAATCCCTAATTCACAGCTTTTCCTCCTACTAAACGCTTTGCTCCAGATACAATACACAGTTTAAAAAAACTTACAAAATCCCCTTTTCTTATTCTCAGTAAGAATAATTTAGTGGGCCTCCTATTTAACAAGAGAGAAAACCTGTTGCCGTCGAGTTGATTCTGATTCATAGCAACCCTACAGGACGAGCGGAACTGCCCCATAGGGTTTCCAAGCTAGCGGATTTGAACTGCCGACCTTTTGGCTGAGCTCTTAATCACTGCGCCACCAGGGCACCTAGCAAGAGACAGAACTATAAAATCATGACATTTTCTATTGTCTTTTGAAAATTTAACTATTTAATGGTTGTATGTGAACAACAAGATAATAGGATTTACAACAACATACTTCAGCTGTAGACATTTCTCCTATAACATTAGGCTGCACATCCCCGGAAAACCCTGTATTCTGCAAAGCTGCACTCTAAAATTAACAGGGCTGGTAGGAAAAACGGGGCTGGGCAGACCACGCAAAATCTATGCACTGCCACCGGAGCACTCGCAGAAACACAGCTGGTACCTGTTCACCTTGAACAGTCCAGGCTGAGCAGAGGCTGTTTCAGAAAACGCCAAAAATGCAAAAAACAACATGGTGGAAACGCTGGCTTGTGTGAACCGAGGCCGTGCAGACGGACATGGAGCTCTGGGCCCTGGAAGAAACACAACCTCCATCAGAGGAGAGCTGGCAGGGCTGGGACACAGACAGGCGCCTGTTAACTTTCTTTGAATAGTTTAAGGAAGGCTCCACCACCAAGCTGAGATCTTCCCTTCCCACTGAGGCTGCAGCTCTACTCCCCTGCCCAGGAAGAAGTGCATGTGTACCAGCCACATCTGAGCCAAGCAACACTCTAAAAACATGCAGCAGCAGACCAGCTCACGTACTGTTTTTACAAATCAGTGGTGGGTTTTAGGGCACCTCTAAAATTAGTTAAAATTCAGAATACTATGAAGGAGAGAATGATTACCTCTGTGAAATAAGAGAGAATTTGGAAGGAGTACACAAGAAACCTCAGTTTTACTTGGAATGATCCTTCATTTTTTAAAAAAGATCTGCAGCAAATATGATACTGTTAAGGTTTAATAAAGACCAATTGTGGGTGTTCACTACACTAGTCCATTCTTGGCCATATGTTAGAACTCTTTTAAACTAAAAGAAAAGCTGAGGAGAAATAAAAGTCTACTTTCATTATTTAGATTTTTCATCAAAAATAAATTATTTAATACCATTACATCTGACACTTACTAAATGTTTTCTATCTACTTCGGAGAAATGACTTGAATCTAAAAAATAAATATCCTAAGGGGGAGTGTGCTGTCACACTGTGGGGACTGCAACCACTGTCACGTAACAATATGTGTATAAACATTTGTATGAGAAATTAACTTGGGCTGTAGACTTCCACCTAAAGCACAATAAAAAATAAAAATAAACAAACAAATATGCTTTGGCATCCCAACTGTTACCCTACAGTCTGCTGTTAAATCACTAAGCACTTTCAGATACATATGTGACTGAGGGCTGGACAGAGTTTTGTTGTTGGCTTTCTAACGAAAAACTGGACCACACTTCCCACTAACGTTAGAGCTTGATGATGAAGGAATTACCGGATCCATTTCCAAATGAACACAGGTGAGGGTTGCAGGGAGAGGCTTTGGGGAAAAGGTAGAATTCCTGCCAGGTCTTAAATAGGATGGACAAAATGTAGACAGGCAAGTAGTTGAGGTTGAGGCATCCTTGCCTGAAGGAATGGAACACCGAGCTCCTACAGGAGATGATTAACCCTGTTAACTCATGTTTATACCCAACCAGAAGACAGATGGCACTCCATACAACGGCCAATTTGAAGCTGGACTGGTTGAATTTAAGAGTAGTTTATCAAAGGGCCCTGGTGGTGCAGTGGTTGACGATTGGGCTGTTAACCAAAAGGTTGCCAGTTTGAACCCACCGGCCGTTCTTTGGGAGAAAGGTGTGGTAGTCTGTTTCTGTAAAGATTACAGCATTGGAAACCCTATGGGGTAATTCTACTCTGTCCTATAGGGTCTCCATGAGACTAAATCGACTCCACAGCAAGGGGTGTATTAATATACAGAATACCACAGCTACAAAGTTTAAACAACTGTGTAAACAAGTTAAAACATTAGAATATGCATGCGAATTATTTTATTTTAAAACGTAAATAGATACGAAATTAAATATATATTTGTTAAGAAACACACAATGGCTTAAAACGTACGCAAGATTTCAACCAATTTTAGAACATTTTGGTCATATAAACTCAGCATCAGTTACCTTTGTTACAGGAGCTTTGCTGTTGATGCTGTGGCTGTTGCTGAGCTTGCTCAGGTTAAAAACTGTTTTGTAATAACCTTCCTCAGAAATAAACCAAAAACACAACTCCAACTAACAACTGGGTCACACCAGAACTGAGGGGAAGGGTATAAGGATGTTGACTGTACTTACCTTTCAAATTTTGTACAATTTAAAGTTTTTCAAAATAAAACATTTGGAAAACACCTAGGACCCAGATCTTTGTTTCTAAATACCATTCTTCACTAAAAGAAACTAGGGCTCTTTGAAGAAATAGCTGATTCCATGACTAGGGCAGAGAAGGTACAACATGAGCCTGGGATATCCTGTGTCAAAAAACAAAGACGTGCTCAAAGAATAGTGGGGATATGTCAGAAGGACATAGGAACCAGCTTGAAGGGCAATCTGGCAAACTGGGAATAATCTGAGCATCAAAATAAATAACGATAGTAACAGATACAACCCAGTGAATAAAATAAATGTCCATGTGTCCACACTGATATAAATAAGAAAGCAAACAAAGAAACAAGAAGTGGATGCTCTTCCTTACAGTAGAATCTCAGCTAATAAATAGAGACGAAATGACAGAATTTTAAAAATCACTTTTTGGCAACCATCAGAGTAATAATTAATGCAGGCAAGAATAAATAGAGGTTAAAATTATTCAATAAAAGTTTTCTGAAAACAAGATATTCATATAGCCTCAATTACTAATTATTATTAATTACAAAGGGAAAACTACTAGCTTTACAGTGGAGAAACCCGGAAGACACCACGCTAACCAAACGAAGCGGAAGTTACCACCACTGGTGACGGGACAAACTGACATTGTGTCTCGTGGAATCATGCGGTGAGAACACAGCATCACTTCTGGATTCCTGCCCAAAACGCCTAACCTGAATCTAATCAAGCAGAAGCATCAGGCAGACCTGAACCGAGGAACACTGGGCAACTGGGCAACAACTGGTCTGTATGCTTCAAAAATATCAAGGCTATGGACAAAAAGAAAAGATTGAGGAAAAAGAAGGCCAAACCAAATACAGAACATGCTGAAAAACGAAAAATAATAAAAACTGGAGTGGAAATTAATGAAATAGAGAATAGAAACACAGAAAGAAAACCAACGAAAATAAAAGTTGGTTCTTTGAAGAGATGCCTCAAATCGCTAAGATCAAAAATAAAAGAGGAGAGGCATTATTACTGACCTTACAGAAACAAAGCGTTATGAGAAAATACTATGAACGACTGTAGGCCAACCAATTAGATAACAGAGATGAAATGTACAAGCTTCTGAAGACACAAAGCACTGAAACTGACTCAGGAAGAAACAGAAAACCTGAACAGCCAAGAGATTCAATCAGTGATTTTAAAACTTCCCACAAAGAAAAGCCTGGGCCCAGATACCTTCACTGCTGAATTCTACCAAATATCCAAAGAATTAATACCAACTCTTCACAAACTCTTCCAAAAAGTAGACTTATTCCAACTATTCTATGAGGCCAGTATCACCCTGATTCCAAAAGCAGATGGACATCACAAAACAAAGAAAACTACAGACCAATATCTCTTATGAACACAGATGCAAAATTCACCAACAAAATACTAGCAGACCAATTACAGCAACACATTAAAAAGATCCTACACCATGACTAAGTGTTATTTATACCGGAAATGCAAGGTTAGTTTGACATCTGAAAATAAATTAATGTAATGCAGCATTTTAAAAAAACAAAGAAGAAAAACCATATGATCACCTCAACAGACCCAGAAAAAGTATCTGAAGAAAGTCCAACACCCTTTCATGATGAAAAACACTCAACAAACTAAGAATAGAAGGGAACTTCCTCGACTGGAAAAAGGGCATCTATGACAAGACCACAGCCAATGACACAGCACTCAATGGTGCTCACCTCTGACCAGGACCATCCATACTGTACTGTCTCCCTTCCTCCTCAAGTAAATCATTTTCCTCTTAGAAAGGACAATGGAATCTTTATTTCACTCTCAGCAAACAAGGATAAGTTAACTGACGTGACCTGGGGAGGCAGAGGAACGGGAGACAGTCAGGACTCACATGCGATTTATCTAAGGAAGGGAACCTCACGCTCCTAGTTCACGCCACACAGGCCCTGGACTGAGAAGCTGCCCTGTGGACCTGGGTGCTTCATTCCTCTTCTGGAACACTGACAAAATCGTGTGTAAAGATCATCTGCACAAGTGTCCAATCTCCCCCAAGCTACAAGCTCTGCAACAGGGAACTGATGTCACGTTCAACACCTGGCAACCCAGGAGGAACGTGCCATTACCGCACTGTTAAACTGAAGGGGACACACTTCAGCTCAACCATGATTTGAATGTCTACGTAGTAAGCGCTGTGCTAGTCCTGCTGGGTGGCAAGAGAGGAGTGGAAGGGCTGGACAAAGAAGATGAGAACAATAGTCTCTACCCTCCAGGAGATTATGATGAATGACTTCAAAACAGTACAGGAAGGATCAGAGAGAAGATCATCAAAACTGAAGGGACCCAGGGGCAGAGGTCTCAGCCCAGTCAGGGGACCCTAGGGTCTCCTAAAGGAGGTGACTCCTTGCTGAGCTGGGGGGTAGACGGGAGCCACTCGGCAAAGAGGAGACAAAGGCATTCCCAACAGGGAAAAGCATTGTGAGCCGCGTCAGCTGGCACGCGGGGGAACCTCAAGAGTTTTGCACTGCCCGAGTATAAGGTTCAAAGCAGGAGCAGTGAGAAGGGAACTGGAAGATTAGATACGGGGCATGGACGTCATACTACAGACACTAAGGAGCTTGTGATGGTTTAAGCAGAGGAGTTACGTGGTCAGATCTGATTTCAGAGTCACCCCAATGGCAGTGTGAAGTCTGGACAAGAGAGCTCCATTAAGAGGGTATGTAACAGTCCTCCACCAGATCTCTGTCCCTTTGTCACACGTGGGTGGCTTGCCTGTTGCTGTGATGCTGGAAACTGTGGCGCTGGTATTTCAAGGACCACTAGGGCTGCCCATGGTGAACAGGTTTCAGTGGAGCTTTCAGACTAATATTAGGAAGAAATACTAATATTAACACTAGGAAGAAAGGCCTGGCAATCAAATTTCCAAAAACTGGCCAATGAAACCTTATGGATCAGAACAGAACATCATCCAACTCACTTGCTTTGGACACGTCATCAGGAGGGATCAACTGCTGGAGGAGGACATCACGTTTGGTGAAGTAGAAAACCAGTAGGGTGAGGGAGACCCTCGGGGAGACTGGCACAGTAGCCACAACAACGGACTGGAATGTGCTGGAATCGTCAGGATGACCCGGGACCGGGCAATGTTTCATTCTGTTGTACATAAGGTCGCCAGGAGTCAGAGCTGACTCAACAGCAGCTCTCTACCTATGCATCTATGTGTGTATGTATGTACCTATCTGTGTCTCTCTCTGTGTGTAAACTGTCTATGTATCTCTCTGTGTGTATCTATCTATCTATGTATGTGTCTCTGTGTGTGTATCTATCTATCTATCTCTCTGTGTGTATCTATCTATCTATCTCTGTGTGTGTATCTATCTATGTATCTCTCTGTGTGTATCTATCTATCTATGTGTGTATCTATCTATGTACTCTATGTGTGTATCTATCTATGTATGTGTGTATCTATCTATCTATGTATCTCTCTGTGTATGTATGTATCTATCTATTTATAAAAGTCCTGATGAATACTGAAAGGAACTCAGACCAGCAGAGCTCAACAAGAGGGAAGAAATATGTGGGTACTATTTGACAGGGGAAAAAAAAAAATCAACAAGATCTACTGACAGATTGGATATATGCCATAAAGAGAGGTTCCAGACAGTGCCAGCCAACAACTTTCTGCACGGATGGACATGTTGTGTATCTGTGCTGTCCAACAGCGTAGCCAATGGCCACACATGGCTCTTGAGCACTGACGCGTGGCTAGTGTGACTGAAAATCTGAATGTTTAATTTTATTCCATGTTAATTAATTTAAATTGCCACGTGTGTGGCTAGGGCAACTTCACCGAATAGCACATCTGCAGAATCCCTCAAATTCTACCCTGAGTAACTGGGTTGATGGTGATGCTGTCAGCTAAGACAGGGCATACGAGGACAAGAAAGTCTGGGAGGTGATGAAGGTGGATTCACCTTTAGAGCTGCTGACCCTGAGCTGCCTCTGTCAAACAGGCAGCGGGACTCAGAAATCAGACCAGCCAGGAACGAGCATGGCAGGTAAAACAAGGAATAAAGGAAGGAACACACAGGAGGAACATGTAAGAAAGAGGCATCTGGGCCAGGACAGAACCACGGGAGTGCTCAGTGTTTAAAGGGAAGTCTGAAGAGAAGGTCAGGAGGGGGACATGCAGGCTCAACCAGAGATGCAGAGGACCAGAAGAATGCGGTTTCACCAAAGCCACAGAACCAGAGAGTAGGCTACGGCAGAGGGACCACAGGGAGAGACGTGGAGGCCATGGCGCGGAGGCCACGGCCACCTGGACAGAGCAGTTCAGTGGTGACGAGTGGGGAGGGAACCAGATGACCGTGTGTCAAGCTGTACGTAAGAGGTGTAGACAGTGTGGAGAGAACGCTTCTTCAAGAAGCTTTGCTGACAAAAAGAGACAAATAAGACAGAAGCTAGAAGAGAATCCAGAATCAAAAACGGATCTTTGTTTAATCTTTAGAGATTCCCTAATACAGAAAAGTCTTGTGTGCCTTTGCTGCCCGAGATGAAAGAGCTGGTACGAAGGGGCGGGGGGAGATTCTGGAGGCAGAAAGTGAGAACGGGTGGGGGATGCTAGACGAGACTCGACCAAGCACCAGCTCTGGGGGTTAAGTGTGGGGAAGGCAGACAGCTGGTCCGCTGTCTGGTTAATAAAAATAAGGTACCCGAAAAACTGCCTGTCTGTGAAGAGCACACAAGCATTGTGTGTATCAAAGGCAGGCTGTGTGGCCCCGAAGACACGCCAGCTGCTCGGCCGGGCAGGTGTGCAGTCACCCTACATGTTCTCTGCTCCTCAACAGACAAGCTCTCTCCGAAACCCACCACAGAACAGAAAGTAAGGTAGACCTGGGATAGCCTTTTATGTGACAGGAAGTCAAGACCTGAACTGTAAATCAGCCTTTCTACTATCACGAGCATTCTGATGTAAGGAGAAATAAATACACACGGGTTTGGTTTGGTTTTACTTCCTACAGCTAGTCATACTCTGCCACTAGCTTTTCTTCTCAACAACCTGTGTGCTGGCATTGGTTGGTTCTTGGCCTGCGCGTGCTTACATCTGCACCCTCTGCTGACCAAACCACGTACTGCTGGAACTTTCACACAAACACAGAACACAAAGTATTCTGAAAATCCTTACCTTGACATGGCAGAACATTCAATGTGCCAGCCAGGTCTTCCATTTCCCCAAGGTGATGTCCAAAAAATCTCCTGGGGTTTAGCTGCCTTCCATAAGGCAAAATCACTGAGGTGTCGTTTGTCAGAATCAACTGCCAATAATAATCGGCTAATTAGCGGGGTGAAATTTAAAATTAGCGAGCAAACAAAGGTCAGCCCGGCAGTGTGATGACAAGAAACACATTCCAAAGATTCTGTTCCCTCTTACAAGCAACTTCACATTTTCTCAGTCATCTAGTTTCCTCCTCCCCATGTGACCTATGGAATGACTACTAAACATTATTACATAAAACATGTCAGAAGCATGAGGTCTATCAACAGGGGAGACAGTGTCAGTAAATTAAACAAGTAAAAATTTCAAACACACACAAAAACCTTGTTTCAAACAGATCTACTGGACTGAGTATTCTCATTTTTCCTTATTCTTTGTGTGAGTACATTGTATTTATCTATAACTGTGAGCTTCAGAATAATTTTTTCCAAACAACAAAATAATCATATACAGTGAAAGAAAATTACCAGAGTATTAGTCACATTCAAAAAAACTCAGAAGAGAAAGGTTATATGACTTGTTCTAAGTTTTACAATGAGTCATTATCAGGTTCTATTTACTTCTAAAACAAACCAAAAAAAATTAAGATCTTGTATAGCTCTCAGAATGTATTACACCTGATTTTCAAGGGATTTCTTACCTCATTCTAGTAAAATCTGACAAACAAATATTGTACTAGTTTAAACGCTGGCTGTTCATATTCAACTCAATGCCCCTCAGCTGTCATTAAACCGACTGACATCTAGCTTGTGTAGAGTATGGGGCAATTCTACTCTGTCCTAGAGGGTTGCTAGAGATCGGAACTCACTCCACAGTCACAGGTCTGGTTTTGTGTAGTCTGGAGCCCTGGTGGCGCAGTGGTTAAGAACCCGGCTGCTAACCAAAGGTTGGCAGTTCAAATCCACCAGCTGCTCCTTGGAAACCCTCTGGGTGAGTTCTACTCTGTCCTGCGGGATCACTGAGCTGGAATCGACTCGACAGCAACAGGTTTGGTTTTTGGTTTTGTGTCGAGTATATGCAGTAACAGACTAGAGAGTTTGGCTCAGCTGGAGACCATTAAACCCCACTGAGCACACACCATGTTTCAAGCACTAGGTATACAGCGATGAGTAAGAGTTCCTGCCCTCCAGGAGCTCACAGGCTAGTAAGCAAGACAAAGATGCAAACAAATAATCGCAAAGAAATAGTTAGAGGACGTAAGTTATACTGAGGAGGGAGGGAGGGACTGCCTGAGGGAAGGCGTCCCGATTCTGAAGAGCCGGCCGGAATCCACCAGGCACGTGGAAAGGAGGAGAGCAAGCAATTCAGGTGGTAGGACAGCATGGATAGAGCAGAGACGTGAGACTGTCTGGTGCGAAAAGAAACACATCACCAGGAGGAACATGATTGTAACGTTGAATCAATGCCATTTCCTAAAATACACCTCATTTTCAACACTTCTGTGTGCACAGCGGAGCCCTGGTGGTGCAGTGGTTAAGAGCTCGGCTACTAATCAAAAGGTCTGCAGTTCAAATCCACCAGCTGCTTCTTGGAAACCCTCTGGGGCAGTTCTACTCTGTCCTACAGGATCACTATGAGTTGGAATCCACTCCACGGCAACGGGTTTGGTTTTGGTTACGTGTAGAGCAGGAATTCCCAGTTACACATACTGGACTGGAACGCATACATGCAATGCAATGGTAGCCCCTTTGAAGCAGTGTCCATATGAGGTAATTTATTTTTTTCATTAATGCTTAAAGCGTTTTTGGAACTCCTCTGAGGAACTGTCTTTGAATAGTCTCAGCGGAGGTAAATCGTCCTTGAAAAGGAAGACCGCTTTTTTTAGATCCATGTTAAAGGGAAGAAAAGTGAGTGACTGAGGATCATGGAGCTGCCACGTGACATAGTCCGTGAGTAACCGGGAAGGCACCCCAAGCTAGAACAGCAGTCACTGTCACCACGCCACTCCCACCCCTGGGCCAGTTCTCCTGTGTTCACCACAGTCTCTCTCGCTGCTTGAGCAGGAGGGATGAACTCTGTGCATAAGGCGCTCACCACCTCCCTTCCACCTGTGAGCACTCACACAAGCGTCTCTAAGTTACATCTGGATGGACTGAAAGATGTGAAACTTCTCTGGTGGACGCAGACACTGAGGTTTTCCTCAGTCAGACTGGACATACCATGTCGTCATTACTAAGGACTGGACTTAAGAGAAACAGAGGAAAAAAAAACAGATCTTTGGGCCTCCAAGCTACAGGAATAACCAACTCATACATGACGATGGAAGATTTATGGATAACATCAAACTTCAATAACAATACGTTATGCTGGAAGAAAACCGAGTCATATAGTTAAAACTCTCAAGAAAAGGTAAGCCAAGGATGTTCTATCCAGCCAAACTGACTGCCAAGAAAAAAGGCAGCGAATTGTCATTAACAAGCGAAACTCCAGGAAACATCATTCCCAAGAGAGGACTCCTCCCTCAGAACGTACTGGCGAATGGGCTTCAGGAAGAAACGCCCAGGGAGACAAGAACATACAGACGGGTGGTGAGCACCGCACAAGCATTTACATGCAGAACTGTGACTACGTAAGGGACACAGGGACGTAGAACAGTATGTGATGGCTACATCCTATGACGCAGTAAACACAGTACATCTGTTTTTTCTAAACGTTTTCAACAATCCTGTTGGTGGCAGGGTAGAAACCGCTATTCTGAGGCTGCTGGGCTGTAAAGCAAATGAATGAAGCTATGATTACTGAATAGTCTAACACTCCTGGTATCCCTAAAATCCAAGATTTTCCATATGGGGAAAAAGGAGATACAAATGTAAAACAGAAGAGGCTAAGTAAACACCTTAGTAGTGAGTCCCGGTGGCACTGATTAGGCGCCTGGCTGCTAACCAAAAGGTCAGCAGTTGGAGCTCACCAACTGCTCTGCACGAGAAAGAATCAGCAGTCTGCTTCTGTAAAGACCACAGCCATGGAAACCCTATGGGGCAGTTCTACTCTGTCCTAGAGGGTCGCTATGAGTCGGAATAGACTCGACAGCAACAGGGTTTTGGTTTTTATGTGGTAATTTATTCATAAATGTATTTGTCACCTCTATCCCTTGAAAAGGCCTAAAAACAAAGACCAATGTACCAATAAGTATCCTTGCTGCTCACGCTGTTGTCAGGTGCTGCCGAGTTAGTTTCCACTCACAGCGACCCTGCACACAACAGAACATAACACTGCCCAGTCCTATGCCGTCCTCACAGTCACTGCTATGTCTGAGCCCACTGGTGCCCATACTGTGGTGTAAAAATACCTTTTCCCATGAAAGGAAAACAGGGCCTCCAGGAGAAATGGTTTATTCCAGGTCTGGGGCAGGAAATGGACAAAACAATCCAGGAACATCTGGCCACATCAGGGAGATGGCAATAAAGCCATCAAATACTGCTAGGTTTGTATTTAAGGGACTTGTAAGCCAACCTGAAGAAGCTCCCACTGGCAAAAGAAGAGACAATCTGAGGATCAATAAGGATAATAATAGCAGTGGATTGAAATATATCAAATACGTTTAAGTCCACGAGTCCCTAGCAATTAAAGAACAAAAATCTAATTGGTTAACTTCAGAGAAACCAACTCTGTACCTTGAGACTTGGTAAATAAAGGAAAACACTCGGGCATTTATCTTCCTTTCCTACGCAAACTGCACCACTGGCTAACCAAACAGTGATCTGTCTATATGTTGTTTCACTGCTCACTGCCACGGAGTCAATTCTGACTCACGGCAACCCCATGTGTGCAGAGCAGAACCGCTCCATAGGGTTCTCCAGGCTGGGACCTTTCGGATGCAGATCGCCTGGCCTGTCTTCCGAGGCACCTCTCGGTGGTTTCGAACTACCAACCTCTCAGCTAACAGTCAAGCAGTTAACCGTTTATGCCACCCACGGACTCCTAAACTGTCTATATAAAAGCATCCAGCAAATAAACAAAGAAGAAATGCCAGAATCAGAGTATCACCGTTTCACAACCTTCTTCTTGCAACCGAGAAGGTAAGCATGGAGCAACGATGATGGTCAACAACACGGAGAGACAGACAACCAGGCCTTGCCTGTCTTTGGGTGAAGAACTACACCACCATCCATAAAGCAGACTCCTCCAGAAATTCAGGATCTGATTAAGCCTCCAGATGAAACTATCAACTTGAAAAAATATACGCAGGAGGGGAAAACGTTATACACCACTGCAAGAACATGGCCAGCAGAATGCCAGCCAAGGGAACTACAAAACTGAAGATGTTTCTTTCATCAAACAAACCGCAAGGGGAAAAAGTGTAGCGGAGGAAACTACAGATTAAAACACATTCTAAAAGACATAAAAATATAAAACATGTAAGTGTAAACTCTGAAGTGTTCAAAAGCAAAGACATCACTTTGAGGACTAAGGTGCACCTGACCCAAGCCATGGTATTTTCAATCGCCTCATATGTATGTGAAAGCTGGACAATGACTAAGGAAGACCAAAGAAGAAATGACACCCTTCAATTATGGTGTTGGTGAAGAATATTGAATATACCATGGACTGTCAAAAGAACAAACAAATCTGTCTTGGAAGTACAGCCAGAATGCTCCTTGGAAGCAAGGACAGTGAGGCTTTGTCTCATGTACTTTGCACATGTTATCAGCAGGAACCGGTCCCTGGAGAAGAATATCATACTTTATGAAGGAGAGGGTCAGTGAAAAAGAGGAAGACCCTCAACGAGATGGACTGACACAGTGGCTGCAACAATGGGCTCAAGCATAACAATGATTGTGAGGATGGCACAGGGCTGGGCAGTGTTTCGTTCTGCTGTACACGGGGTCGCTGTGAGTCTGAAGTGACTTGATGGCACCTAACAACAAAGGAGAAACTACTGTGTTTAGGGATACACGCTTGGGGTAAAACCACTAATAAAGGTAAAGAGGTGATTACCACAGTAAGATAGTGGTTACCTGAGGAAGAGGGAATGTGGGGTCGTGCTTAGTAGTGGGATGTGGAAGGTCTGGTGTGCCTACAAGTTTACCTTCCTTTCATGGGTTTTGATTACAAAGGTCTCCACTTTGTAACTGTTCACTGAGCTACATTTGTTTTCTGTTATACTATTGTCTAAGATGGTTAAAAATTTCGCTTCTGAAATGATATACATCAAGGTACTGACAAATTTTCACTGTGTGTGAAAAGTTTTATTACCTCTATTTTGTATATCTGTATTTCCAAATTTTCCACTGTTATTTCTATATTACCTGCAGAGAACGTAAATTTCAGAAAATTTAATTGTGCTCATGCAGAACCTGTACATAGACCAAGAGGCCGTTGTTCAAACAGAATAAGCGGATACTGCGTGGTTTAAAGTCAGGAAAGGTGTGCGTCGGGGTTGTATCCTTTCGCCTTACTTATTCAGTCATGTACTAAACAAATAATCTGAGAAGCTGGACAATCTGAAGAACAGGGCATCAGGATTGGTGGAAGACTCATTAACAACCTGCAATATGCAAATGACACAACCTTGCTTGCCGAAAATGAATATGACTTGAAGCACTTACTGAAGAAGATCAAAGACTACAGCCTTCAGTATGGATTACACCTCCACATAAAGGAAACAAAAATCCTCACAACTGGCCTGATAAACATCATGATGCATGGAGAAAAAACTGAAGTTGTGGAAAAACTACTGAGGTTGTCAAAGACTTCATTCTACTGGGATCAACAATCAACATCCATGGAAGCAACAGTCAAGAAATCAAAGGATGTATTGCATTGGGCAAATCTGCTGCACAAGACCTCTTTAAACTTTTAAAAAGTACAGATGTCACTTTGATGACCAAAGTGCGCTTGACCCAAGCCATGGTATTTTCAAACACCTCACATGCATGCAAAAGCTGGGGAGTGAAAAAGGAGAGAAGAACTGATGCATTAGAACTGTGATGTTAGTAAAGAATATCAAATACGCTGTGGACTGTCAGAAGAATGAACAAACCAATCTCAAGAAATATAACCAGAATGTTCCTTAGAAGTGAGGGTGGTGAGACTCTGACTTGCTTACTTTGGACATGTGATCTGGAAAGACCGATCTTCTGAAAAGGACGTCACAGTTGGCAAAGTTGAGGGTCAACGAAAATGAAAGAAACCCTCAATGAGATGAACTGACAGAAGAGCCGCAACAATCAACTTAAACACGGCAGATACGGTGACGATCGCACAGGACCGGGCCGCATCTTGTTGTCTTATACGTCAAGGTCTCCGTGAGTCAGAGCCAATGTGATGGCAACTGACAACAACATTTACATATTGTTTTGTATAAGAAATAATTTCAGTTTTGAAAAGTATTGCTGATGCTAGAATGTGTAACTACAAGAAACCTACCAGAAACTTCCCCAAGGCACAAGACAACCAGCTCCTGGGTGAACATCTCATGTGTGAGATCTCAGAACCTTCTGTTCTGGCCGTTGTGCAGAGGTTAAGTAGCATACTACTGATTGGGTAAAAGTAAGCAATAACATTTCTGAGAAGTCAGATAAATAGTGCTATTAATTAAATGGAATATTTCATGAGGCAGAAGGATAATGCCCAAAGACAGACATATAAAACTGGGACGACATGTCTTGTAGGGTTTCTGCTATTGTTCTTGTTTGGTTATCTTAAACAGTACTCTTTTAAAATTATTTCTAATTTATGTCTATATACTCATCCCCTCCAAAAACAAAATTTTTACTCTAACAAATAGTGAGAACAGAATAGAGTACAGAACAATAGCCAAATACACGTGGAAATTTAATATCTGATAAGACGTAGAGGGGTGTTTGAATATGCTACCGTGTGTACGTGTTTCCATATGCAAAGAAAATCTCAGAAAGGAAAGAAGAAATGGTTGAAAAGTGCTGCTCCAGGGAGAAGAGCTGGGGGACCAACGGCAGGAGTGAGATGGGGATGTCTCACTTGCAGTTTGAATTTTATATTCCACATGTTCTGTCTATTCAAAAAAATGAATTAAATTTAAAGCATTACTATGCTCGACCGTATGATCAACATTACCGTGCCTTGAGTAAGCGGAGGTGCACGGCTCTGGACTGAGCATGCAGGAAGGTGGGAAAAGCCATGTCTCTGCATCCTTCACTTCCCAGGAAGCTATGATGTGAGGCAGAGGTTACAGGGGCCCAGAGGGCTCACGTATGGTCAACCTACCTGGCTCTCCAACCGGATCCGGGGCCACACCGACTAGTTTACCATACTTGTCTCCTCTAGACTTCAGATCAAAGTAGACATTGCCTGTTTTACAAAGGTAATTATGATATGCATCATTTCTCAATCTTAAACACGAGCATTTCCATATACTTAATATTTAACAAGTTATTAGACTTCAAAGACAGACTATGGCATTTGGTCTTCATTTGGTCCTTTTACTAACCTGCTGGGGCTGAATTAAACAACAGCCCTGTATTATCAAAGCGTGCATTTGTACCTATCACGACCACATAGAAGTGAACATGAACACAAAAGGGTAAATTCACTGTCAACTCTTTAGACAATTCTTCTTAACAAGAATAAAGAAAGGTAAGTGTTACCATTAACCTTCGTTCAGCTCTTGGGCTTTATATTATATACTAATTAATAAAAGAAACCACTTCTTTGTCCAAGTATCTTCCAAGGCTGCCCTTTTATTTAAAAAGACCATCGCTACACTCGAGATGGACTGACACAGCAGCTGCAACAACGGGCTCAAACACAGCAACCATTGTGAGGATGGCACAGGACCAGACAGTGTTTCATCCTGTTGTACGTGGGGTCACTATGAGTCGGAACCAACTCGATGGCACCTAACAACAACACACTTGAAGTATCTGTGTGGCTGTTCTTTTACGGAGACACGTATGGTCCTTTTTTCTCAGGATGAGGGTAGAGGCAACCTTAGGCACAGAGACCATGACAGAACCACTCTGACCCCTTTCTCTCTCTGACTGTAGAACATGAAGCAGAGCTAAGAAGTGAGATTTCAGAGCTAAAGACAAAAACCAAAACCGCTGTTGCTGAGTCAATTCCGACTCATAGCGACCCTATAGGACAGAGGAGAACTGCCCCGTGGAGTTTCCAAGGAGTGGCTGGTGGATACAGACTGCTGACCTTTTGGTTAGCAGCCAGGCTCTTAACCACTGTGCCCCCAAGGCGCCAAGAAGCACCCTTGGTTTAATAATTTAAAAATTTAATAAATTAAGCTCTACCAGTGGAAATAATCACGCAAATCCAGAACATGACATATCCTCTAAGACAACTGAGCTGGTTATTAGCTTCTACGAAAAGTTCTTAACAAGGGAGAAAAAAATTGGGGAGAGATCAGAAAGACACAGAAACCAAATGCCAACGCGTGACCTTGAGTAGATTCTGATTTGGCGAGGCGAGGGGAAAGCCATAAAAGAAATGGGAGGTCAACTGGGTGAATTTTAATATGGATAGGATGTTGGGTGATATTAGAGAATTATTCATTGTCCTAGGCCTAGTAGTGACCTTGTGGTTATGCAGAGGAACACTCACACCATTCAGAGATGCATGTTGAAGTATCAACGGGCTGCTGTGTTACTTTCAAACGGTCCATTAAAAAATTACACACCTACACACAAAGATAAGGGGAGTGTGTCTTTGGAGCTGCTGATTTCATCTCCAACCTTTTGTTATGAAAATTTTAAACAAACACAGTTGAAAGACGATGACAATGAACAGCTGTATGTCTGCCACCCAGACTCAACAGCTGTTAACACTTCGCCTTCCTGGTTTATCCACACCAGCTCTGCAGACAGTCACCTCTCCCTGTGACTGGGGATAAAGTTTTTAAAAAGAACTGATTCAACAGGTTTGCAAAGAGACACAGTAACTGTAGAAAAGCCCATAACACTTTCAATATAAGAACCATATCAAGAAAGACAGTAAAACACTTGGCATGTGTTCCAATAATTCATAAATATGTCTAGTTTCTCAAAATCTTACCAATATTACCTATTATCAGTTTTGACGACATAGATCCTACCTTTCTGCGTTGAATAAGCATGCCCATTGGCAATTATTCCCTCAATGAAAGAAATGATCTGAGGAATATTTTCAGTTACCCTCAAGTACACTGTGGGTGGGAGAACCTGAAATAGAGGAAAAATGACTGTGTTTCCACAGCTAAAAAGCCGAGGTCCACCACAACTGGTTTTCATTGTTCAAGCTTTTTATCCTTGGGACAGGAAAATGGACAACCAACTTTACCTTCAAGGCTGCCATATCTTGTTTAAAATCTTCTTCATAAAAACTGGCAAGAGAAGTGGGTGATATATTCATCTGCAAAAGAATTAGATAAACATACTGAGAATTCTGGAGTATTTACAACAGAACCATGACTGCCCACTTGCATGATGCCCAAAAGCAAGCTCATTTCTTCCATGGTGCAGACAGGAGGGGCTGGGCTATGTGGCCTCGCTGTGGCTTAGCTTCAGGCTGGCACTGCCACTCACAAGGGAGGCATTTAGCTTTAGCTATTAAACTTGTACTAACAGCTTAGCTAGTCAAAATGGTTGGGGAGGAAAAGGGAATAAATGTCATGATTTCCACAATGCAATAACCGACAAACCAAATCAAAACAAAAACAAACAAAAAACCCTGTTTTTTCTCAGACAAGGGCAAAATCAATCTATCCTACATAAACACAAGAAACTTGAGTTCCCATTGTACAGGATACAGGATACAAAAGAAAACAAGCCAAAAACACATTAAAGAGGAAGACCCTAAGGAAATATTTCGAAAGTAGTTATGACACATTAGAATAGGGTTTTTAATGGAATGTGAAGTCCCTCGGGCACTATGAATGGGCTTCTGGGGACAGGTAAGAGCATGACACCCGAAGGTGAATGTTCTGAATGTATGTGCCATTGCTAGGGCACGTACCTGCAGCCCGTCAGACTCTCAGGAGTCTGGGGCACGTAACGAGGCTCATTCAGTATTATTATTACTTTCTCCATGGAAAAATACTCTAGAAATAAAAGCAGCAGGAGACACTATAACGTTCTGAAGTTTAACCGGCATTCGTAACTGTTGATTTTGTGCCCGTAACCCATGAGCCACTCCAACTCATCAACAGTCATCTAGCAGCATCTGCGATGCGCCAGACACTTATCTTACCGGATTCTCACACACCCCTGCGAAGCAGAAATCCCCATTTTATGAATAAAGAAATGTCGGCTCCAAATACTAAACAACTTTCTCAATGTAAACAGCACGTGTGCAGCCCAGACATCAGCTGAGTCACTCTGAAGCCCAAGTCCTGCCTACCCCAGGGCTCTAACATGTCACGACCATCACTTAACAGCCAACATGCTTCTTAAACCCACGACCCAGGAATACTTACTGAAGAAACAAATCTTGTAAAATGAATACCACAGTGTCTGTTTTAGCTTTGTGGTTCTGGGCTAGTCGATAAACATCTCAGCCGTAGGTTTTCTTTGTGATGTGCAGACAACACCATTTAAGAATCCCTAAGACTGCTGTGAGGATTCGGTGCAGTACGTGCGTAAGACAAGTGTGTGAACAAAAAATAACACCTTAATATCACTATCAAAGAGATAAGATACATACGCTCTAGCACACAGCTCGTATACACTAATTTACAAACATATAAACTTATTTTTTCACTAAACGTTATAAATATGTTAATTTTATATTAAACATATATGAATTTCAGTTATTCTTCTGATATATTAGGAGTTATATCTATTGTCCAAGATGGCTGAGAGGGAAGTATATGTATATATTAAACATATATATACACATATAAAACATCTTTTTCCTATAGTATAGCTTCTTTGTGGCAAAACACAGATCTTTTTTAAAAGAAACCAGTTAACTTGTGTCTATCCAGGAGAAAAAAAACAGCTATAAGGGACAAAAAAGCCTAAAATTCAGTGTGATCTTGCCACTTCAGAGTTTCAAATACTATACAATTTTGGACCTAAAAATTAACACACTGCTTTTATATATTTATCTTCAATTTTAGCTTTCTGCATAGGTAATTCCACTCCCAAACCTTTTGCTATCACGTCGATTCCCATTCATAGCGACCCTATAGGACAGAGCAGAACTGCCCCATAGGCTTTCCAAGGAGCAGCTGGTGGATTGGAACTGCTGACCTTTCGGTCAGCAGCCGAGCTCTTAACCACTGCACCACCAGGGCCCCAATTCATTCCTCAAGGAAGTCAAATGTCATAAAGGGGTGTGCAGAACCCAGTTCGCCTGCCAGAAGGTAAACGCTGTTACCAGTCTTTCTCAAGCATGAATAGGCTCATGTATACGTTTGTATCCTTTTCTTTAAATCCCCAAATGTAGGACATCACACAGGGGTCTGCACCTTGCTTCCTGCACTCAACATTATTTCAGGTCTTCCCATGTTGGTATATATTGAGCTGCCACATTCTTTTCAATGGCCGATACTACCTTTTATAGATGTACTGTGACTATTTAACCTGTCCTGTACTAGTTAAACTCCGTATATTCCAATCATCGGTTATTACAAACACTACAGTACATGTATCACTTCACACAGGTTCAAGGGTATTTCTAAGCCATGGGGATGGTTAATTTTACGTATCAACTTGGCTTAGCTACGGTGCCCAGCTGCTTGCTCAAACACCAGTCTAGATGATGCCATGAAGGTATTGATGTGCGATTACCATTTAAGTCAGCTGACCTTAAGTAAAGCAAATTACTTTCCACAATGTGGGTGGGCCTCATCCAGTCAGCTAAGGCCTTAAGGACAAAACCTGAGGTTTCCTGAGGGAGAAGGATTCTACCTCAAAGACTGTAAATACACATCCTGCCAGAATTTCCATTCTGCGACCTGACCTACGGATTTTGGACACAAGACTGCTGGGGTTTCCAGCCTACTACCTGATCTATGGACTTGACTTACCAGCCCCTACAATCACAGGAGCAAACTCCTTAATCAATTAATCTCTCTTTTTTCCCTCTCTCTCTCTGTGTATATGTATCTCCTATTGATTCCGTTTCTCTGGAGAACCCCTGTTGTCGTTAGGTGTCATGCAGTCAGTTCCGACTCATAGCGACCTCATGTACAACAGAACAAAACACTGCCTGGTCCTGCGCTGTCCTCACAGTTGTTATACCTGAGCCTACTGCTGCATCCACCGTGTCAGTTCATCTCATTGAGGGTCTTCCTCTCTTTCGCTGACCCTCTACTGTACCAAGCATGATGTCCTTCTCCAGGGACTCGTCCCTCCTGGTAACATGTCCAAAGTATGAGAGACGAAGTCTTGCCATCCCTTGCTTCCAAGGAGCATTCTGGCTGTACTTTCCAAGACAGATTTGTTTGTTCTTCTAGCAGTCCATGGTATATTCAATATTCTTTGCCAACACCATAATTCAAATGCATCAATTCTTTTTTGGTCTTCCTTATTCATTGTCCAGCTTTTGCATGCATGTGAGGTAACTGAAAACACCATGGCTTGCGTCTGGGGCACCTTAGTCTTCAAGGTGACAGCTTTGGTTTTTAACACTTTAAAGAGGTCTTCTGCAGCAGATTTGTCCAAAGTAATATATCATTTGACTTCCTAACTGCTGCTTCTGTGGGTATTAAGGATCCCAGTAAAATGAAATCCTTGACAACTTCAATATTTTCTCGATTTATTAGGATGTTGCTTATTGGTCCAGTGGTGAGGATTTTTGTTTTCTTTCTGTTGAGATGTTATCTATACTGAAGGCTGTAGTCTTTGATCTTCATCATAAGTGCTTCAAGTCCTCTAAGCTTCAGTAAGCAAGGCTGTGTCATCTGCATATTGCAGGCTGCTAATGAGTCTTCCTCCAATCCTGATGCCGCGTTCTTCTTCACATAGTCCAGCTTCTCGGATTACTTGCTCAGCGTACAGACTGAATGAGTATGGTGACTGACTGAGACTGGAGGAGCCCCTGAAGCCATGGCCCTCGGATGCTCTGTTAACCCAGAACTGAAACCATTCCCAAAGCCCACTCTTCAGACAAAAATTAGACTGGACTATAAAAACATCAACTACTACTCATGAAGAGTATGCTTCTTAGTTCAAGCAGATACACAAGACCAAATGGGGGGCTCCTGTCCTGAGGCAGGAAAAGACGACAGGAAGGGACAGGAACTGGTTGAATGGACACAAGAAACCCGGGGCAGAAAAGGGGAGTGTGCTGTCACATTACAGGGATTACAACTAATGTCACATAACAATGTGTATAAATTTTTGTATGAGAAATTAACTTGAGCTATAAATTTTCACCTAAAGCACAATTTAAAAAAAAAAGAAAAGAAAAGTATGGTGAAGGGATCCAACCCTGACGTCCACCTTTCCTAATTTTAAAACATGAGGTATCCCCTTGTTCTGTTTGGTCTATGCACAGGTTCCACATGAGCACAATTAAGTGCTCTGGAATTCCCATTCTTTGCAATGTTATCCATAATTTGTTATGATCTACAAGTCAAATGCCTTTGCATAGTCAATAAAACACAGGTAAACATCGTTCTGGTATTCTCTAGTTTCAACCAAGATCCATCTGACATCAGCAATGATATCCCCTCGTTCCACGTCTTCTTCTCAATCCGGCTTGAAATTCTGGAGGACCCTAAGGCAGCTATAAACGTGGACATGAAACTGCTGGATCGCTGGGTCAGAGAATAACAGCACGGATAACTCTGCCGTTGCTGTTGTTCGGTGCCCGAGTCGATTTCGACTCACAGTGACCCCATGTGGCAGAGCAGAACTGCCCCATCAGCTTTTCTAGGCTGTGATCTTTACGGCAGCTGATCGCCCGTCCTTCTCCTGAGGAGCCACTGAGTGGGTTTGAACCGTCAACCTTTGGGTTAACAGCCAAGCGCTTAACCGTTGCACCACCAGGGCTCCTACTGCCAAACTGCCTTCCACAGAATTAAAACCTGCCCAGCAACCCAAGAGAGTGCCTATTTTCCTGTACCACTGCAGTAGCGTTATCAGACTTTGAGACCTCGTCAATATGACAGCTAAAAAATGCTTTCAGCTATCATTTTAATTTTTATTTCTCTCATTTTGAGTGAGTTTGAATATCTCATGTTTAAGAACCCTTTGTTTTAAATGACTGTAATGATCCATACTTATTTTCCTACTGAGTACAACCCTTTTCCTATTCATCTGTAGGAAGTATTTTATATTAAAGAAATTAGCCTTTTATCTCTGACATGAATTTCAATTTTTTTTCAGTCTTTCAACTTTAAGCTATTTTAAGGCATATAGACAATTTCACCTTTATACATATCAATCCTTCGTATTTATCAA